ACATGTGTGGTATAAGATGGGTGGCATTGTACACGTTACATGTGTGGTATAAGATGGGTGGCATTGTACACGTTACATGTGTGGTATAAGATGGGTGGCATTGTACACGTTACATGTGTGGTATAAGATGGGTGGCATTGTACACGTTACATGTGTGGTATAAGATGGGTGGCATTGTACATGTTACATGTGTGGTATAAGATGGGTGGCATTGTACACGTTACATGTGATTTGATTGTAATAACGGGAGCAGCGTGGCAGCGCGAGTGATGACACCGGAAGGCAGCTAATATAATAACAGTAAACGGCGCGGACGGCAAACCCACCTCCAGGGCAGCTCTGCTCCTGTGTGACTGCAAAACAAGACTGAAGTCAATGACAGGGGACAAAACATACACAGCACCCCCCAAATACCCCTCCCCCCATCTCACCGGGAACGGCTGGGCCCCCTCCTGGATGACGAAGCCTTCGATGACATGAGTGAGGATCTGCGGTCTGACCACAGCCTGGGGTGGTTTGTTCTCAGCGTTCTGAGGGGTGCTGCCTGGGGCTGCCGCAGGTAGAGGCGAGGAGCCATTTCCCGATGTCATGTCCAAGGGAGGAGAAGAGCTCTGCTGGGTCTGGCTGGAGTCTGGAGAAGAGACACAAGAAGTCACAGGGGGTTCCCCAATACCGGTGACAACATCAAGGGCCACCCTGAGAGTCGGGAGGGGCCACATTGAGGAAAGTCCCTTCCACCCTGAGGGATTACTGGTCTACATACATTGGTGGAACGTCCTGCAGAGTGCCCAGAGCAGCTTTATAAATACTGCGAGACACTTCCCGGAACAAAGGCCACATTTCCATCCTCCACATACTGGCCCCAATCTGTACATCACTATTCACCGAGGGGGGGGGGCTGCAGTCCTAATCCTGAGGAACACTAACATAGGAGCAGGGAAGATGTTTTCCTGTGCACCCCATACTTCCTGTTACTACAGGTTACTACAGATGACGAAGTTCCAGCTAGAGCTCCGTGGAGGAGAGATGCCGAATCTCCGGCCAGCCGCAGAATGTCACCATCTCTGTGTATCCAGACAGATAAGAATCCCCCCCCCCAACCAACAACACTACAGCCCCGGCGGCCACACAGACAACTTCCCTCACAATACTTCATCATCTCACCCACCTGCTTTGTACTTTTGTGAAAACACAAGATGAGCAGCTGCAACTTCTCCACAATGAGGAGTCCGTGCCAAAAAGTGGAGGTCAGGGCCTTACAGTGGTCTGTATACCAGCCTTCTGCTACTGGGCTGTCTCGGACTCCTGGCCTCTGCTGGAGTGAGGTTATCTCGGACTCCTGGCCTCTGCTGGAGTGAGGTTGTCTCAGACTCCTGGCCTCTGCTGGAGTGAGGTTGTCTCGGACTCCTGGCCTCTGCTGGAGTGAGGTTGTCTCGGATTCCTGGCCTCTGCTGGAGTGAGGTTGCCTCTGACTCCTGGCCTCTGCTGGAGTGAGGTTGTCTCGGACTCCTGGCCTCTGCTGGAGTGAGGTTGTCTCGGACTCCTGGCCTCTGCTGGAGTGAGGTTGCCTCTGACTCCTGGCCTCTGCTGGAGTGAGGTTGTCTCTGACTCCTGGCCTCTGCTGGAGTGAGGTTGTCTCGGACTCCTGGCCTCTGCTGGAGTGAGGTTGTCTGTGACTCCTGGCCTCTGCTGGAGTGAGGTTGTCTGTGACTCCTGGCCTCTGCTGGAGTGAGGTTGTCTGTGACTCCTGGCCTCTGCTGTATGTAGTAGGTCTGATCCTCTGGTAGGAAGGGATGAGGCTGTATCCTGGCCCGGTTGTGGGATTCAGGACGTTCCAAGTTTTGGGAAGTGAAGATGTCTGCTGAAGATTGGAGCTTGTTAGTTCTCTGTGTCCCCCTCCTCTGCTCGGACATTCACCGTCTTTTGGGCTTCTGTTACTAGAGTTGGGATGTCTCTGTGTAGACGGTCTCTCAGTCTTCTTCTTCTTGGAGAGTCACTTTCAGCTCTTTATACTTAAAGGAACTGTCCCTCTGTCCGCTGCTGGAACTGGGGCTGTGTCTGGATCATTTGTTGGGATTCCAGCAACATATCTGTCCCTCAGGCCTCAGTTCTGGTCCCGGAAATTCCTTATTGCTCCGTTAGGTTTCACGCAGTCTCTGGGTTCGGACTCTCGGCCCTCGGTCGCGGTTCGGACTCTCGCACTCAGTCGCGGTTCGGACTCTCAGCACTCAGTCGCGGTTCGGACTCTCGGCACTCGGCCGCGGTTCGGACTCTGGGCACTCGGTCGCGGTTCGGACTCTGGGCACTCGGTCGCGGTTCGGACTCTCGGCCCCCCTTGTCTATTCCACAGGTATGTGGTTCGGTGGGACAAGTTGTATGTGGGGGAGATCCTGAGGACGGGGTGAAGCTTTGTTATAAATCCGGCACAGGGGGGTGACAGAGTTGTGCTGTTGGGTCATCTCAGAAGGCATTGCTCCACATTGTCCACACACAGCCCCCTCGCTCAGCTTCCATGCTGACTGCAGACAATGAATGAAAGGCGAGTCTGCCTGGACAGCCCCGCCCCCCCATCCCTCCTCCAATCACAGAGTCCAGGCGAAGGCAGGGAGGGGGCAGGACAGGGAGGATCAGACACACAGCAGCTGCTGCTACATAAGAATGCCAGCTGTCTCTACTACAGTGTGTGTGTACACAGCCCGAGCAACACTACAGTGTGTGTGTACACAGCCCGAGCCGAGTATCCCCGAGCAACACTACAGTGTGTGTGTACACAGCCCGAGCAACACTACAGTGTGTGTGTGTACACACCCCGAGCAACACTAGTGTGTGTGTACACAGCCCGAGCCGAGTATCCCCGAGCAACACTACAGTGTGTGTGTACACAGCCCGAGCAACACTACTGTGTGTGTGTGTACACAGCCCGAGCAACACTACAGTGTGTGTACACAGCCCGAGCCGAGTATCCCCGAGCAACACTACAGTGTGTGTGTACACAGCCCGAGCAACACTACTGTGTGTGTGTAGACAGCCCGAGCAACACTACAGTGTGTGTGTACACAGCCCGAGCAACACTACAGTGTGTGTGTACACAGCCCGAGCCGAGTATCCCCGAGCAACACTACAGTGTGTGTGTACACACCCCGAGCAACACTACTGTGTGTGTGTGTACACAGCCCGAGCAACACTACAGTGTGTGTGTACACAGCCCGAGCAACACTACAGTGTGTGTGTACACAGCCCGAGCAACACTACTGTGTGTGTGTGTGTACACATCCCGAGCCGAGTATCCCCGAGCAACACTACAGTGTGTGTACACAGTCCCCCATAGACTGTCACTAGCAGTGTGCGCACAACATTACATATACTGTCCACATTTACACAACCACACGGCGGGCCGGTTCCCTGTACACGGCGGGCGGGTTCCCCGTACACGGCGGGGGAGTTCCCCGCACACGGCGGGGGAGTTCCCCGCACACGGCGGGCCG